GTGCGTCGGGGGTAGGGTAGAGGGATCAAATGGAAGATACAGCATTCGCGTCGAACATAAGAGGCGAGTCGTAGTTACTACTACTGGTGCTGGGGGAGGGGGGAGTGGGACGTGCGTCGGGGGTAGGGTAGAGGGATCAAATGGAAGATACGGCATTCGCGTCGAACATAAGAGGCGAGTCGTAGTTACTACTACTGGTGCTCATTTTGCGTTTGCCTTTTTCATCTTTGTGCTTATGTTTCTTTTTCTTTTTCTTGTGCTTTCGAAGTTCACTCGGTAACCCACTGTCTGTCTCTTTAGGTCTCGATTCAGCACCGCTGTCTACACCACTTTCTTCGTTACCAAACTGAAAAGAAAAAAAATGTTTATAACCAGTGTGTGTGGGGGGGAGGGGGGGGACTTTTATCTGCAGTGATATCAATTTGCGTCGCAAGGTTATAACCGATGGGCTTATAATAGGGATTTTGCGGTATCCTATAATGTCGAAGGAATTTTTTTTAGCTGATTATTCCAGCTAGTGACTTCACTATCAAATAAGGTCAATTTGTCACAGGATTGTAAGAGTAGCATCGTCGCGCTTTTGTGCAGCACTTGAAAGAGATAACTCATCCGTCTGTCAATACCACCACCTCTATCTACGAGTCGAAACCATTGCGAATCACTGATGAAAAAGTAGCCAGCCTAGCGGCGCCCCACGGGCTAATGAAAAGGAGTCTACACAAAACTTAATTAACGTATTTTTATCTCACGAACTCGATCCAGAGAGATTGATCAGTAATTGTTGATATCGCATCTGTTTCACAAAACTTCAACATCAAAGACATTTCTGTACTATAGTTAGCTTTGAGCAAACCAGATGTTGTGCAAAAGCAGCCATGTTTGACAAATAAAAGTTTTGGTTTAGTAAAATAGTTTTTGGTTTTTGTCAGACGACTGGTCACGATCCGTCCTCGTTCCCCAACCCCGACCCTAAACCTAACCAATCACAGGGGACGTTGCCAATTCGTGAAGCCYAACCTTCGTAACTTGGTTATGTGATTCTAGTTCGACATTTGACGCATTTTGCATTATGGCGTCATTTTACTACCACTACGAAAATGATTCGCTAATTTCCTTTCTTGTTCAAATTTGCATTTCCTTATGAAAATAATAAGACAGTTGGTGCTAATTAAATGAAAGGAAGAAAGTGTGCAAGGGAGTATGGTAGTGGTAGTAAATGACGTTATGATGCAAGTGACCTATTGGTTGTTAATAACTTTTTGGCGGGAAACAATGGCTACACGGCGATTTATCTGGATATTTAACCGTAACCAAACCTGTGTAGTCCGAAGTCGGGTAAAACAACTTTTAAAAAAGTTTTTTA